TGTAATTTTCTTTTATTTTGAAGTATTTTTGTCTGGTTTTGGTGTCAGGGTGATGGTGGCCTCATAGAATGAGTCTGGAAATGTTCCTTCTTCTGCAATTTTTTGGAAGAGTTTCAGAAGGATGGGTGTTAACTCTTTTCTAAATGTGTGATAGAATTCACCTGTGAAACCATCTGGTCCTGGACTTTTGTTTGTTGGGAGTTTTTGTAAATCACAGATTCAATTTCAGTACTTGTAATTGGTCTTTTCATATTTCCTATTTCTTCCAGGTTCAGTTTTGGGAGATTGTACCTTTCTAAGAATTTGTCCATTTCTTCTAGGTTGTCCAATTTACTGCCATATAGTTGCCTGTAGTAGTCTCTTGTGGTCCTTTGTATTTCTGTGGTGTAGTTGTAATGTCTCCTTTTTCATTTCTAATTTTATTGATTTGAGTCCTCTCCCTTTTTTTCTTGATGGGTCTTGCTAAAGTTTTATTAATTTTGTTTATCTTTTCAAAGAACCAGCTTTTACTTTAATTGATCTTTTTTAATGGTTTTCTTAGTCTCTATTTCATTCATTTCTGCTCTGATCTTTATGATTTCTTTCCTTCTACTAACTTTGGGTTTTGTTTGTTCTTCATTCTTAGTTGCTTTAATGTAAGGTTAGGTTGTTTGAGATTTTTCTTTTTCCTGAGGTAAGCTTGTATCGCTATAAACTTTCCTCTTACAACTGCTTTTGCTGCGTTCCATAGCTTTTGGATCATAGTGTTTTCGTTTTCATTTGTCTCTAGGTATTTTTTGATTTCCTCTTTGATTTCTTCAGTGATCCATTGGTTGTTCACTAGCATATTGTGTAGCCTCCATGTGTTAGTGTTTTTTTGCAGTTTTTTTTTCTTGTAGTTGATTTCTAATCTTATAGTGTTGTGGTTGGAAAAGATGCTTGATATGATTTCAATTTTCCTAAATTTACTGAGGCTCACTTTGTGGCCCAGCATGTGATCTGTCCTGGAGAATGTTCTGTGTGCACTTGAAAAGAATGTGTATTCTGCTGCTTTCGGATAGAATGCTCTATAGATATCAATTAAGTGCATCTGGTCTAATGTGTCATTTAAGGCTTGTGTTTCCTTACTGATTTTCTGTCTGGATGATCTGTCCATTGATGTAAGTGGGGCATTGAACTCCCCCACTATTATTTGTTTACTGTCAATTTCTCCTTTTATATCTGTTAACATTTGCCTTATATATTGAGGTGCTCCTGTGTTGGGTGCATATATATTTACAATTGTTGCATCTTCTTGGATCGATCCCTTGATCATTACGTAGTGTCGTCCTTTGTCTCTTGTAGTAGTCTTTATTTTAAAGTCTATTTTATCTGATATGAGTATTGCTACTCCAGCTTTCTTTTGATTTCCATTTGCACAGAATACCTTTTTCCACCCCCTTTCAGTATGTACGTGTCTCTAGGTCTGAAGTGGGTCTCTTGTAGACAACATATATATGGGCCTTGTTTTTGTATCCATTCAGCCAGTTCACGTCTTTTGGTTGGAGCATTTAAGCCGTTTACATTTAAGGTAACGATTATTATTATTTTTTGCGGTCCGCGGGCCTCTCACTGTCGCGGCCTCTCCCATTGCGGAGCACAGGCTCCGGACGCGCAGGCCCAGCGGCCACGGCTCACGGGCCCAGCCGCTCCGCGGCAGGTGGGATCCTCCCGGACCGGGGCACGAACCCGCGTCCCCTGCATCGGCAGGCGGACCCTCAACCACTGCGCCACCAGGGAAGCCCCCATTTAAGGTAATTATGTATGTTCTCACTGGCATTTTGTTAACTGTTTTGGATTTGTTTGTGTAGGTCTTTTTTCTTCCTTTCCTCTTTTGTTCTCTCTTCTTATGATTTGATGACTGTCTTTAGTGTTGTGTTTGGATTCCTTTTTGTTTTTTGTATTTCTATTATAGATTTTTGGTGTGTGGTCACCATGAGGTTTTGATATAGCGGGCTGTATAAATGTATGCTTGTTTTAAATGGCTGATCTCTCGCTTTCAAACGCACTCCCAGTATCCTGCGTTTGTACTCTCTTCTTCCCACGACTGCTGGTGTTGATATCGTACCTGTGTGTGGATGATTTCCTACCTACCTTTACTGTATGTTTGCCTTTACTGGTGAGCTTTCCCATTTCATCATTTTCTTGTTTCTAGTTGTGGCCTTTTCTTTTCCACTTAGAGAAGTTCCTTCAGTGTCTGTTGTAGAGCTGGTCTGGTGGTGCTAAATTCTTTTAGCTTTTGCTTGTCTATAAAGCTTTTGATTTCTCCATCGATTCTGAATGAGAGCCTTGCCGGGTAGAGTAATCTTGGTTGTAGGTTTTTCCCTTTCATCACTTTAAATATATCCTGCCACTCCCTTCTGGCCTGCATAGTCTCTCTCTGCTGAAAAAAATCAGCTGATAATCGTTTTTTTAAAAAAAATAAATTTATTTATTTATTTTTGGCTGTGTTGGGTCTTCGTTGCTGCGAGCGGGCTTTCTCTAGTTGCGGCAAGTGGGGGCTACTCTTTGTTGTGGTGCACGGGCTTCTCATTGTGGTGGCTTCTCTTGTTGTGGAGCACGGGGTCTAGGCGCGCAGGCTTCAGTAGCTGTGGCAATGCAGGCTCAGTAGTTGTGGCACACGGGCTCAGTAGTTGTGGCTTGCGGGCTCTAGAGCGCGGGCTCAGTAGTTGTGGCACACGGGCTTAGTCGCTCTGCAGCACGAGGGATCTTCCCGGACCAGGGCTCGAACCCGTGTCCCCTGCATCGGCAGGCGATTCTCAACCACCGTGCCAGCAGGGGAGCCCCAGCCTTTCCTTTTATTGACGACTGACCGTTCAGCAGCTAGCTGTGTTAGGAGGCGAGCCCAAGGCCTCCTGCTCCACCGTCCCGTCTTCTCTCTGTGAGGCTATTCTTTTCTCTGTTTCTATTCTTGCAACTTTTCTGTGAGCTTGAAATTATTTCTAAACACATGTTGAAAAAATGCCAAGGGCATTCGGGATCTGTGGATATGGAAAGGTCTTCAAGACACAGCGTAAGCGGAAAACCCAAAAACAACGCAAGGGTCAGAGTGAAAACACAAGGGGCTCCTCCTCAAAGTAAGTCATTTTGTACCTTTTAAGGTGCTGTACCTTGTGTGTGAATTACCTAACCAAATACTCAAGTTAATTTTTAAAAAAGATAATGATTAAGTGAAGCCGAGTGAGGCAATGGAAACGTTCCTAGTTCCAAAGGGTCCAAGCTGAGAACAGAAGAAACACAGATGGGCGGGGCCCTATCTGACTGAACTGATACAACAACAAAGAAGGACCCCAGAGGCCTTATGCCACCAGGTGGGAGGCTCCAGGGAATCGTGTGTTCCGTGTGACTCCGTTTACATGACGTCCTAGAACAGGTTAAGCTCACCTTGGACGATGGGCCTGGGTTGCTGCTGGCCGGGGGGAAGGTTTCACTCAAGATTTGTGCCTCATACTGTAGGCACATCAGACCTCAGTGCAACGAACAATGAGCTGCTCTCCTCATGTCCAGAACCCCTGGGACGCTGCTCCTGAGCCCTTCCTGCCACTGCCCACTGGCCGTGGAGAGCAAACAGAACGGAAGCCATCCCACCCTAACCAGGGGGCAGAGCCCTGAGCAGCTCCCTCTGTGGGGCGATCTTCCCACCAGATGGCGCTGTGCCCTCATGGCTGAGGCCGCCCTCCTCTGGCTTGGTCCGGCCGGACACAGAGCCTAGGACTCTGAGATGCCTCACTGCAGGGATGTGGGATTCGGGGACTCCAGAATTTGGAGCCTGTCGGGGGGTGGGGAAGCAGGATGAGGGCACGCGGGGATGCTGGTGGGGCTCCCTGTGAGGGGCTCTGGCCTGTGAGATGCCTTTACGGCAAGCTGGCCCACCCACTAGGAGAATGAGGGGTCTCCTCTCTGTCCCCCCCACCCCCTCCACTGTGGCATGAGAGCACAGCTTCTGGGCTCAGCCCCAACTGCTCCACTAGTGGGCTGAGTGGCTCTGGACAAGTGACTTAGCCTCTCTGAGCTTCAGCATCCTCCTCCATAACTGGGTCCTGAGCCTCATGGGGCTGGTGGGGCCCAGAGGTTGACCAGGAAGCCTAGGCTGCTGCCTGGTGGAGGGGCGCGGGGGTGGGGGGGGCTCCACAGCTTGGCTCGCGCTCCAGTTCCTTTGTTACCGTTATTGCTGTTACTCTCTCATCCACTCGGTGCCGCGGGGGTGAGGCTCAGAGAAGGCAACCCTGACACCCTGCGGCGCGGGGGCAGCCTCCACCTCTCAGCACTGCCCTGGGAGTCCTTGCTGACCCTCCCCTCTGCCTATCTGGCCCCCTGCATCTGCCGCATTTCTGGACGGGCACCCGCAGGGTGGGTATATGTTCCCATTCTGTCAGCAACCCCACTCCGGGGGGCGTGGCCCAAAAGACGCAGCTCCTTTGGAATTCAGAGGAACTGGGAGCCCGTGACTCGTGGCTCTGTGATCCCTCGGTTCTGCCGCTAGGGCGTTCCTGTGGTCATTTAGGCTCTGGGCAGCCTGGCACGTGGCCTGGTCACAGCCCACTGGCCGTGCCTGAAGGGGCAGAACGTACAATGTGTCCCCCACGCCCCGCTGCCCCCCTGCTGATGGTGGGCCTTGGAGGGCCAGCTACGGTCCTGCCGCAGGGACCTGCCCTGTCCTCAGGCAACCCCCAGACAGTCCTGCCTCGCACGCAGCCGTACACACCCCCCACACTGGCTGACCCTGGAGCCCAAACACCGCTGGACAACTCCTCCGGATTCAGGAGGAGTGTCCAACTCACTGTGTCCTGGGAGCCAGTGGTCAGTATCGGGGCCTGCAGACACCCGGAGCTCCTCTCCCGCTCAGCCCCCCGCCGCTCGGGGCCTTTGTTAACAGCTTGTCTGTCTGTCTATTCGTCTGTCAAGCTCCTTCCATCAGGTGGCAGCAGAGAGAGAAGCAACGCGAATGCCCGGGAACTGTCTCCGAGGGGACGTGCACTCACCGTGCTGGCAGTGAACTCTGGCGGGTTGTCGTTCACGTCCGTCACCGTGATGATGGCTGTGGCCGTGTTGGAGAGGCCATAGTTCAGGTTTCCTTCCATGTCTGTCGCCTGAACAATCACTGTGTACTGCTGAACTTTCTAGAAGGGCATGAGGGGGAGGAAGAGAGCATCAGTTTGGGTTTTAGTTTACAGGCTGTTTATACTTTCATTAAAGAAATACATTCCCCGGATGGACTCAGCTGGGTCCCCGTCCTGCCCGGGGGCGCTGGCCGCAGGGCGCTCGGCGGGTGACCTGGCAGAAGGAAGTTCTCACTTGCGGTGGGTGGCAAGGTCTCTGCCTTCACCTCAGTGCCTGGCTTCCACGGGTGTAGATTGAGGTAGAAAGAAGGAGAAGGGGGCCTGGAGCACACAGCACGCTGTGCTGGGTTTGCCAGACCAGGGTGGGCAGTTTGGAAAGAGGGGCGACCCCCAGATGGTGTCTGCAGGGACCTCATTTCTTTAGCATCCTCAGTGTCTAGTTCAGCCTCAGTCCAGAAATTCAAACAGAAGGGAAGTCAAGCCCTCTCCCTTCTCTCTGCAGGCACACAGACACCAGCACGCTCTGTGTCTGAACACAGTCTGGAAGGAGTGGTTAGCGTTCAGATGCAGGTGTGAATTTTAAAAGGCAAATGATGCTTGATGGGGACGGCGAACTTCACTGGGCACTGAAGGGGTCGCCCAGCCCTTCTCCATCCGGACCCACTGGTGCAGCAACCCCAGGTCAGCAGAGGGGGCCTTTCCACACCCCTGTTCTGAGCAGAGGCCACAGGTGTTTCCAACTGTGACAGGTGAGGATGAGCCTGGTGGGCAGCTCTCTGCTGGGACCACAGTCCACCTCTCACTGGCACCATTAGGGAGGGAGGGTTCTGGGGTCCAGGGCAGAAAGGGACCTTCCGAAATGCCGCCAAGGAATGAACGATCCCAAGTCCCACTCCCCTAAGAGGTTCAGGGAAGAGCCCACTTCTCAGCCCCATGATTCAGGGAAATGTGCTCAGGATCCCTAGGGGGCTCTGGAAGGAATTATAAAGAGCAGACGGTCACAAACTGCCACTCTCTTTC